TCACTTTAGTAATAGAACATAGTTTGGTAAAAAAAAAAACAAAACACTGTGCATGGGGAGGTCTGTGTTTTAATTCTTCAAAGATAGTCTTTACATATATAAATTGATTTCACAGAGGAAGGGAGAAGCAGACATAGAAACATCAATGATGGGAGAGAATCATTAATCAGCCCCCCCCTGCATGCCCCCCACGGGGGATGGAGCCACAACCCAGGCATGTGCCCTGACCGGGAATCAAATCGTTTCCTCCTGGTTCATGGGTCGACGCTCAACCACTAGGCAACACATGCCGGACAAGACAGTCTTAAAATCAAGGGACTATGGAAGGAGTATTGTTAGTTCTCTATGGCCGCTATAACAAATTACCATAAAATTAGTGGCTTAAAACAGCACAAGTGTATTATCTTATAGTTCTGAAGATCAGAAGTCTAAAAAGGGTTGGCGGAACCACATTCTTTCCGGATCCTCTAGGGAGAACCATTCCTTTCCCTTTTAGCTTCTAGAGCAGCGGTTCTCAACCTGTGGGTTGCGACCCCTTTGGGGGTCAAACGACCCTTTCACAGGGGTCGTCTAAGACCATCGGAAAACACATATATAATTACATATTTTTTTGTGATTAATCACTATGCTTTAATTATGTTCAATTTGTAACAATGAAATTGGGGGTCACCACAACATGAGGAACTGTATTAAAGGGTTGCAGCATTAGGAAGGTTGAGAACCACTGTTCTAGAGGCTACATATATTCCTTGGCTGTGGCCATGTCACTGAAGCCTCTACTTCTGTTATCACATCTCTTTCTCTGATTCTGACTCTCCTGCTCCCTTATCCCTTATAGGAACTCTGTTACTACACTACTCCATCCAGATAATTCTGGATAATCCCCCAATTTCAAGATCTTTAACTCAGTCGCATCTGCAAAGTGCCCTTTGACATATGAGGTAACCTGTTCACAGGATCCAGGGATAGGAAGTGGACACCCTTGGAGGCATTAGTCTGTTTACCACCAAGGGAAAAGCACTGGCTGAACTCTTGATTTCACTTAAGCCAGCGGTGTCCAACCCGAGGTGATTATGCTGCTCAGGAGATACCAGTATTTGGCAGTGTCTGGAGACATTTTTGGTAGTCATAACTGGGGCAGGGGGGTTGTTACTGGGCATCTAGTGGGTAGAATCCAGGGAAACTGCTGAACATCATACAATGTACAGGACAGCGGCCTCCTCCCAACCAAGACTTATCCAGCCTAAAAGGTCAACAGTGATGAAGCTGAGAACCTGTGACTGAAAGCATGTGATTCCTGGAAATCTCCTGCGTTTGCTAAGGTTGCCACACAATGGGAGCATTGCAGGACTTAGATTTATACAGAGACATTTGAGGAATCACATACAAGCTCTATAACTCCATGTTTTTGACAATCTTATATGGTAAATAAGAGATGAATAACATGACTCATACTTTAATAGTAGGGTTTTAAGCACTGCCCTAACTTGTTATTTGTTGAGTAGTTTGTTTTATTTTAGGTCTGGCGTAATCTTTCACACTGCTGCATTTCATATATAGACAAGTTCATTTCAAGTGTTTATTATAAACATCATTTTTATGGATATTATGAATATTTAAACTCGTAGATGCTCAGATTGAAGTACCTAACACCAAACAGATTTCAAGGTGACCCACAGCTTTCTGCAACATTTTATTTTTGCCTTACTATGGCCCCTCGACCTCACAGGATCAAAGAGAGAAGGACACTTACATGGTATCCCTTCCACTGGGAGAAAGATTTTAACTTAGAATCAACATTCACTTATATGTAAGCATCTTGGCTTACGTTTTCAATACTTAATTTTTCAATTCTCAAGAATTTCTGTGCTTTGGTTTGAATTTTCCCTGCCCTTTAAAATAACTGATAGGATTGCTAGTAGAGGACTTTATATGTTTTCTACATTTTTTACATCTTCCTTTTCTTTTCCATCCTTCTCCACTCTTCTCATTCTCTCCCTTTCTTGATTACTTTCATTCTGTTCAAGAGTTCCCCAACTGTTCTTAATTTGCAGCAACTTCAAAATGCAACGGTTGTATAGTCAATGGCAGAAAAGACTTCTTAACCAGCAAAGGACTGTGTGTGTGTGTGTGCATGGGTGTGAAAATGTTATCCATAAGGGTGAATTTGAACTTCATTTTTTTCACCCAGGAAGAATAATGACTATGAATATGAAAGTATTCTAACAGATTGTGAACCAAGAGAACAGAATGAAAAAACATACAAGCAACCTTGTTTACCACTGAAGCTATTTCTATTGTGTACATTTCTCTGCCAAGATACAGTTCTACAAAGCGTTTTACATTTGGTATGATTTCTGAGCTACAATGACATGATACAGGTTAAACACATCTTAATGAGTTGAAACTTGCCAAACAGTATTTAACAAACCAAAGCCATACCCCTAAACATTAAGTCACACCTAAGATTCCAGATTTCCAGTATCACATTGCTCATTGGGTTAGGTACCACGAGAGGAAACTGCTGGGATCTCTGTCTACCTACTAGTCAAAGGATGCAGCTTCTTCAAAAACCAAATGCAAGAAAAAAAAAGAGAGAGAGAGAGAGAGAAAAGAGTGTGAGGCAGAAGAGAAGAGAATGTGTGAAAGAGACTTAAGAGACATGCCAGGTGTATTAAAGACTGAGAAACTTGGAGCTGATTAGAGGTCAATGCCTAAGTGCAAGTTTCTCAAAACCGGATGGTGTGAGCATATAACAGGGCAGCTGGTAGAGGGAAAGGAGGGGGAGGATTTGGGGAGAGAACAAATGGTAACTTTGACAACTTGGGCACATATCAGCTCTGGCACAGGGACCCTGGATATCTCCCAGCCAAAGCACCTGTACAACCATTTCCCTGGGGAAAAAAGGAACTTGTTTTATTTCTAGGAAAGCCCATGGACAGCAAATGGCTGCGATCCCAGTCAGGTCTCCCTCAAGCTGCCCACATCATGTCTCAGGTGTATGTACAGCTAGTGCACTAAGACCCAGAGCTAAATAAATAAATAATCAAAAAGCAATACAGCAATACAAAGGAGCACATACTCGGGATATTAGACTATCACCTTTAATCCCAAGATATTTTTCCATTATTATTTTGCAAAGGTCAGTGAATAACAGAAACCCAGATAAGAATATCCACCAACAAATGGTTAAAAATCACGTGGAACACATTATTCCTTGGAAAGAAGTTTAGGATCTCTTGTCAAAGGACAATAATATGTTATTTATATCCAGGGTGCTATGTCCAGCTACCCCTTTCTTCTCCTGGTCAAGATGCTCTTCTTTTTTTCACCACACTGTAATGCACGTGACTTCTGCAGCTCCTCAAACTTCTCTGACTTTTCTTTTCCTTCTACTTTAGTTTTTTTTTAATCCTCACCAGAGGAGAGAGAATATTTTTTCCATTGATTTTTTAAAAAATATGTCATTATAGATTTTTTAAAGAGAGGAAGGGAGAGGAATAGATAGAAACATCGATGAGAGAGAAACATCGATCAGCTGCCTCCTGCATGGTGGGGGACTGAGCCCACAACCAGGGCATGTGCCCTAGCTGAGAATCGACCTCTTGGTTCATGGGTCGATGCTCAACCACTGAGCCACACTAGTTGGGCCTTATTTCCACTGAGTTTTAGGGAGAGTGGAAGGAAGAGAGAAAAGAGAGAGGGAGAGAGAGAGAGATAGGGAGAGATCAGAGAGAGAAACACCGATGTAAGAGAGACACATCAATTGGTTGCCTCCCACATGCACCAAACTCAAGACCCGCTGGTACCTAGGCTGACACTCTAACCACTTAGAAACACCATCTAGGACCTTCTACTCTAATTTGATGTCCAATGTCCTCTTAAGTTCAGCCATTACACCTCTTCTCTTCTCCTTTTGGGAACTCAAATACTCCTAAGGCTTGGTTATTGCCCCTGGGCTGACACATCCTAATCCATCCCATGAAAGGCTCTCTAACCCTCCATCTCTACCTTCCTGCTGTCTCTCCCCCTTGGATGTTACCCCAGCTTAGACTCAACTTGTCCAAATCCGTATTTATCACATCTCTCCCTAAAACAAACTTACCTCCTAACTTCTCTACTTCTGTGTGAACTGACACCATTTTCCTGAGTCCCTTAGGTTTTAAAACTTGGCATCATTTCCAAATTATTCATATCCTTCATTTAGCAAGTCAGCTCTATCAAGCCAGCCAATTCTCTCTTCACGCTGTCCCATAACTGTCTCATCCACCACAGGCCAACCTCCCCAATCACACCTGAATTACAGCAACAGCTCCTGCGGCCCACCCTTCCTGGATTATTACTTCTCACTTAATCCACCAGCCTAGCATTCCCAGAACCACCTTTCAACATTCGCCTTACCTAGTGACCTGTTCAGAAAAAAAATTATTTCTCTGTTATCACAACATCAAGGCTAAACATAGATTTTCCAAGCTCTCAGCAATGTGCCGCTATCTCTCGTGTCTACATTTTCACTGCTTCTCAACAATATGATTTACTCCTGCTGTTCTTTCTCCTTATTGGGAACTCCCTCTTCTGTATCTCCACTTCCAAATCCTGACCCTGCTTCAAGGCCCCTCCTAAATGTTAACTTCTCCATGTAGCTTAAATGACTCATGTCACCCCCTTCTTTGTTCTTGCCCTTCACATGACTTGCATGCTCACCATTTTATACATGCTGATTTCCTTTCTGCAACTACATGGCAAGCTCCATAAAGCTAGCACTATCGTTAGTTTTCTACCGCTCTACCATACACTCCAGGGCTGAAAAGAGTGAGGTCTTTTTAGAATAAACAAGTTAATTAATCTACTATTTAAATACATTTTTTACTATAAACAATTGATCTATAAATAAATGAATAAAATCATAAAGCAAATGTAGAGATATAGCTATTAGCATTTGATTTTTAAATGTGATACATTAATTATAAAACTATTAAATTTAAAAGCCATCTTCTTACCTGATTTTATGCAGTCTGATGTCTTGCAAATACCATCTAGAAAAAGTAGGGTATATACATAAATATTTATAATTACATTTTCTAATTTCTCCCTATCTTTTGTTCTTCTAAAAACTGCCAATTAAATGGTCAATTCTGTAAAGCAAGAACTAAACCTAGTATTACATGTCATTGTTAGCAGTTAGAAAGACATAGAGGAATAAGTGGGAAAATCCTAAATTTGAAATTTTCATTATGAATAAAAATGTATGTATTACATCATCTCTACCCACCAAGCTCTAGGTGTTTTAAGTTGAAATAATCAGTTGTCTTAGTCCGGTAATCATGTGGGGTTTTCCGTTTTGTTTTTGCCATTAAGAAACCAATCTTTTCTAATCCTTATTGTAAAACACTTCTAAGACTCAAATGAGACCTCTTAAATTCCTGTGAAGCCCTTTAGAATTTCAATGACACAACAATACTGACTAATTGAAGCTGACCACAAAATTGTGTATACTTTAATCAAATAAAATTATACATTAAAACCCTCATAAAGTAAGCATGAGTGCATTAAATATACTTGGCAATTAATAATTTAGCTCAAACATAAAAGACATTGTACTTTAGTCAGTTAATTGTTTTGACATATTGATATTGCATTTTGTAACGGAATCTTTATAGCATTATCTTTCATTTAATTGTCTTTCTCCTTAACACCCTGGGAGATGGGAAACGTGTGAGATGAAGAGTCCGCTCTCCTCTGCATTTGTGTGTACAGGTGTGGGAGCAGCTCACCGTCATAGGTTGCATAGAGGGCTATCATGGTCACAGCGATGATGGTGAGGAGCAGGACGAGGACGGAGAGATTGATCTCCAAGGAGGTCCATCGCTGTTTCTTCTTTGGCTTTGGGGTGTTGATATCAGTTATATCCATCTGACTTTCTGATCTGCCCATCACCTAAAATCTGCAAAAAGTTATGAAATAATTTTTAAATACCAATAACCAATGAATAAAAAGAAAAAAAGAAGAGGAACTATATATATAACATTGCAAATGCTAAATGTGGCTGAATAAAAGTAAAGGTTAATTTATTTTAAATGAGAAATACAACTTTTAGGTTGAAAGTCAAAATTTTTATTCTGACAGTGAAGAATATAGAGGCAGAGGAATTGGATAGGTCCCTGTCACCACCTTTTGGTTCTTTTTTTAATAGAAATATTCACAGAAGATCCAAGCAAAAGTAGACAAGAGACTCAGTTAAATACTTACATAGGATTCCTTCAGCAGTTCGTAAGCAAATAATTACTGTACCGTCATTAAGGAGAGTTTTAAACCAACCACCCTTCTGAACTTTGGACAATGTCAAAGGTGAATTTTATATCTTGTTCCAGTGGCTTCCTTTATACGCTTGGAAATCAATGACTAACGTTTTGAGGTTTTGACTAAGCAGTAATTTAAAATAGGAGTACAGATAAAAACAAACAAACAAAAAGAAATAAACACCTGCGATAGTTTATACTTTTAGTCTTAAAAACAACTTTTGACTTTCCAGTTCAAAATTATGAGTACTGCTGATATGGGTATCTATTAACTGGTTAGACAGCATTCTGAAAAGGTCACTCATTGGACCAAAAGTCAGTGGTTTACCTCCACGAATGAAAGATACTAACCATAATCTCTTTGTGTAGCTGAAGAACAAAAATATGATTTAAAAAAGTCTACCTTGTATGTCAGGGTAACAAGGGTTAAGATGCTTATTAACTTGTATTTAAATTAATATTTCTACTATTAATAGCTGACATTTACTGAGAACTTTCCATATGTCAGTCATAGTTCTTCATGCTTTATGTGTACTAATTCATTTAATCTTTTAAGGTGGATATTAATATTCTAATCCTATATCTTAGGAAACCGAGGCACAGAAAGATCAGGTAATTAGCCCAAGGCTACATAACTAGTAAATGTTCTTTATAAAAAAAAAAACACACACACGCATTTGGTCACTGTTTGACATAAAATTTTATCATCTTGCAATAAAAGCTACATTAAATCATACTGCATAAGCTTGGGGAGGGGGGGCGGATTTAAGGAATATAAGCCTAAAAATCAAATGTCATTATGGTTCTTTTAGAAGCCAATTGATTGCCTATGGGCCATCTACCAAAGCCCAGACAACTTCAATTTTCCTACAGGGCTGTAGAAAAGAGCCCCGTAAACTAACAGATTAGCTTTTTATAGCTTGATACAAATTAAGCATATAATTTAGTTCCTAGATGAAGCCACTGCTCAGAATGCTGTTATAGTTAAAGATCTCTGTTAAACACACACAATTCCCTGAGGGTGTGTTTTGTGAAAATTGAGGCACAGGGTAAAGTAGAAACAGAGTCTACATTGGAAGCGTGGCCTGGGAGATCCAGCAAATTACTAGAAATTTAATCTCTCTGGTGAATTATTAATAAGTGAACCACAACTGGACTTTAAAGTTCTGGATACAAAGTCTTAAGCATGCTTACATGAGGCTATAACCAAGGACAGACTTTCAAATAAAAATATTTTATTAGACCATGAAAACCATGTCTGCTCAATAAAAGTGGGATGTAATGTACCTGAATGTTAAAATGTCTTCCTTAATGGTTATGCAACTCATGCTGGCTTAGGCTCGCACAGCCCCTGGGGTTATGATATGGAATTGCATTGATCGTGGTCCTCACAGTTTTAATAGGGGTGGTTGGGGGTGGGGGTGGGGGATATGGGAACACATCTAACACTTGGACACCATACACAGAGATAAACAATAAAAAAATAATGTTGCCAGTTCTCCCAGAAGGAGTCGAGACTGACCTAGAGAACATCTGAATATTAATCACTTTGCACAAATATTTCCCTTTCTTGAGTATTTCTCCCCCTGCTCTAATACCTCAGAAGATAATCTAAAGAAACATTGTCCTGGTGTCACAGGACCCACTTCTGTCTCCAGTTCTTTCTTTGAAATGACCATCAGTTTCTCCAGTAAAACTCAGTGCCAAGAACCACGGCAGCCACGGGGTTAAATTAAAGGTGCTCTTTAGCACCACCAGGCTTCTGCAGGAAAACTTCTGGGATCTTAATGGTTCTGCACCTAAGGTGGCAGAAATGGTTGTAGGGGGCAGTGACCAAAGAAGGTTAGTCCTGTTGCCTATGCCAAAAGAATATCAACTTTGTACCACTTGCAAACTCTCCATCTTCTGGTAAGCCCTCTGCAAATTTCAGTTTTTGTTCCTCAGTAGCACTTTTTACCATCACTGAGCAAAAGCAGAAGTGATGCAAGTTGAACTTCCTAATTAATTAACTTTCACATTCATTTCCAGATAGTTCTGGTGGAGTCAATATCTTCTTTTAAGGTAATAGGGGTCAGAATCTTAAACCTCAGGATGAAAGATACCATCAATTCCCAGTATCCAGCTCAACCACACCCAACATCATTTGAGAGTTTGGAAAGGAGAGCAATTACACAAAAGAATAAAGTTGATACCTGTAGTCCCAAAATAAAGCGAACTATGCCAAAACATATTTCACCTTAACTGCAGATGTTAGCAAGTTTAAACAGGAAGGAGAGACTAGATAATTTAAGAATTCTAACCCAAAAGAACCCTGAATGAAAGCAGCTTGACAACATCACCCAAAGAATAAATGATTATTTTGCTTAAGTAGAAACTGAATTGCAAGCAATATAAAGCCGCAATGCTTATACCAGTGGAGAATACACACCACTTTATCACATAGTCAACTCCAAGAACTTAGCGCATACTTGGTTTGTTAAAAGGAAGTCTAGTATAAACCTAAGCAATTTTCATCTTCACAACACATTACAACATTTACAGTTCAGCAAGGGCCTGAGGGTACACTCTGCAATTACAGTGTGTATGATGGAAACTGAGGCACAGGAAGCCGGAGGAACAGGTTCCAGATTTAGATGGTAGCTTCAGAAGCCGAGGAGGCAGGTACTTCAACAGAAATCATCTCCTTATTTTCCTGGGACATTCATTTATAGGTGTCCGCCCGGCCCAGAATATGGAGCTCTGGATATAAAGTCCTAACCACATTACTCCCCTAGCCGTACAACGAAAGTCACTGCGTGGAGCCCAAGACCCTGTCCGGGCAGTTGTTTTGGAGTTCGGGGACCCAGCCAATCATACAACCGAGTGAAGAAGGCGCAGGCCTTCACAGCTGACTTGCGGTTGAGGAGTTCCCAAATACTGACACTGTAGGCCGGGTACTACTTTTCGGTTTAACAAAATTACCATTTGCATCAGATGTGAGAAGGAACAGAACGAGTGGCTAAAGAGGACTGTTCGATTGCAATCACCCTGATTTTCCAGTAATACAAATGGATTGCGATCGGTTAAGTCAGGAAACTTTCATTTACAAAAAAACTGCCCCCTCCAACCCCCACACCCCTGCCAACTAACCCTAGTGTGATTAAGTACCCCCATCGCATAAATTACATAAGAGGAAACTCCGATTCTAAAGCAAGGTGAAGAGGTGAGAAAATGAACAGCTCTTCAGGTCAGGAAAAGTCAAAATAGAAAAGTGAGTTGGAAATGAGGAGACTAGCCGACAGAAATCAAAATGAAAACAAACCTTGCTTTTAAAAAAAATCAAAAAAAAAAATCTGTGCACAGCGGAATGGCAAATTCCCAGCCCCCAGATCTCGGTAACCGCTCCTAACTCCCCCTGGCAGCGGCTGCAGGCATCTCTGAAATGAACCTCCCGAGTCGACCTAACTGCACTTCAGAGCCCTCCTCCAGGTCACCTCCCGGCCCCTCTCCCTCCCTCTCCAGGTCCCGGTGCGGCTCCTTCCCGGGCACGCCTCCCTCGTCCAC